ATTCATGTCATCTCCAGTTGTCAGAATGTCACTCAAATCATCAAAACAGTATTAAATGTTGTAAGCTGAGCAGTGAGAGAACTTTCAGAAGTCAGAACCCATTTACAGAGCAACGCTTGTAGAAAATGGATTCTGTTCTCCACAGAATTTTCTTTCAGTTCTTTCCACTGAGAAGTTTACTGATTTCTCCCAGTGGAATCGGCTGGAATTTATCGGTTCATGGTTGGCAGTCACAGATTAAGGTAAATGTCGATCTGTAATGACCCTCTACATGTTAGTATTGCAGTAAAGCTGGGCTTTTATGTCAAAGATATCGGAGTGGGAGCTATTACACATGACAGGGGTGATCAAGGGACTCCAGACCAAGGCAAGCATTATTAAATATTGACTACTTCTGTGATTTATGTAGAGCTTGAGGAAAAAAGTGACTTTTTTAGCATTATATATTCCTCAGCATAAAAAAACGTTCATTTATCTTATAGCGAAAATAAAGAAAGCATGGGCCACACATTTTGTTTTTTCATTTAAAACTTAGGATTGTAAATATCTTTGTTTATCTATTGCCATCCATAAAATGATATCCGGCAATGACTTTTTCCATCTTATTTATACGCTGTATGAAGTCAAAGTAGTCTGGAATACATTATCCAAACGTTGTCATAAATTATTTCTGATTCAGACCTTTTTATTTTTACATGAGCCCCTAGTGCACTCAGTGAACGACCATTAATGAATTTCGTTCATTTTTACCCTGAGTGATTCCACACAACACTTTGCATCGCCATCATTTGAAACAGCACCATACAACTCCAGCAATGAAAGCCCCCAAAATACATTCACATGTCAGATAACTTATTCCAATGGGTTTACAGGATCATTTGTGCTGAAACATTGTATTTTACAGGGTAATAACATTTGACAACACAGACTCTGTTTTGCATGATTTTGCCTGGCTTGTTTCTGCGTTCAGAGGAAATAAATAAAGCAGCATCAGTGCTGCCGATGAATGGGTTAAACTATGTCAATTCACTGCATTGAAAACAATTTATTGCATTCATATAAATCAGCTTTATTACCTGCCTTGATTATTCCCTGGGTCAGCTTTGTCAGTCAAAATCAATAGGAGTGCAAGTGGCTCAATCAGTCCATTTTTTTTGATTGTGGATTCAAGACCAGTCCTTAACCATTTAATGGCATTTAACAATTTTCCTCCTCCCAGCAAACTCATGTGTACCTTCTGGAGTCCCCAAGCATTAGCTCTTGCCAACCTGTGCCTAATACTCTCAGAATTAGGTAAGTAGGATGTCCCTCTAGGGAGAGAGTGCATTCCATTCCAATAAACATCTCTGGAATTTCCATGCATAGGTGAGATGCATGTTGAATACTCCTAAGTATGGTGATAGTTTTCTGCATTTGTCAGCCACCCAGCTGACCCCCCAAAAAACACTTAGAATTAAAAAACATTCTATACGACAGTTAGAACAATGGTAAAATTGGTTTATAGTTTATATCCAATTGCAAAACTATGTGAGACTGCCTGCTCCATTTTGCGGTAAACTGAATGGTGAGATGAAAGTTATACCAGTTTTGCTATCTTTCTCTCAAGATTCATTCTATTGCTGGACAAACAATTTGGGAGTTAAGTGAATTATTATTTAACCAGTCACTAGATGATCATCAGGGAATTTTCATTTCTGTAGCAGAGATTTTGGAAATAAAGAAAAGAGTGACTCAAAATTGCTTCAAGTACATGTCAAATCTCTTGCTGAAGTGGAGATATTTTAAAACTTGATATGAGGACTTCCCCTCATACTCAATGTATTAATCCAGCAACAGCGCTGAACAGACCAGAGAGCCACCACATTGTATCACTAGTTTGTGCTGAATTGGCTGATCTCATCTAGAGGAATGTTAGTACAAGTATATTATAATAATAATAATAATCATCATCATCCTTGCATTTGATACTTTATCATATCTTCAAGACGTCTCAAAGAACTTCACAGAATATTCTGTAAAGTGAATTGACTGTATATTTGTGAGTGAATCGTGGCAACCAAGTGTGCACAGCAGTGTCCCACAAACAGTCATGGATTGATTGACCAAATTATTTATTTTTGAAAGGACTTTTATCCTGGAAAAGCGATCCGCAAATCGACTAACAACCGGGTTCCTGCTTACTACTAGGTAAGCAGAGGCGTGTGGAGTAAGGAAACTTGCCTAATGTTTTGCTCTGCCAGGAATCAAACCCAGGTCCTTTCACTTGCGAGGCAAGTGCCCTAACCGCTTGTTTTGTTGCAGCACTTGGAGGAGAAAAGTACTTAGGTTTTCTGGTTCTAATCACTATCCAGTGACTCCTACTGGTGGTATTTGGATATCTCCAGGTTGGGCTCATCTCTTATTGTCCCCATGGTCAAACAGTCAACTAACACTCACTGTCCAAGCTCACACATGGGTAATGGTCACTTAAACAAGAGCCTGCCACTGTGTAACCAACCTCCATTTGAAGGGGAATTAACTAAACACTTCAGGAAAGAAAATATTGTTGCGGGAAATGGACGAGAACATTTAAATGTGACATAAGCAAAATAAATAATTTTTCGTTGACTTCATGATAAAGAAAAAGTTGTTGCCCAGAGTATTGTTGTCCAACATAGATTTAGGTAATTTTTTTTCACCATCATTAGTCTGCAGAATGGGGGCAATAAGTTTTTCTTAGCTCTACCAGAGCAGTAAATTCCTCAGAGGCAGACAAATATGTCCTTTCCAGGAGAATGCCAAATGCAAATATAATTGAAGATTAGGATTTAAATTTAAAACTCCTGGTCTAGAGTCTAACCATGTAACGTTAAAACGACAGGATTGCCCAGGAGAAATGTAGCAGTACTAATAGAAAAACAATGAACTGAGCAGCGATGGATTTCCTACTTTCCAATTAGTGAAATGTTGTTGAAACCGATAATAAGTTAAAGAGAAACTCTGTTTCCTTGACATCAGCTTGTACTGCGTGAAAAATTCTATACTCTGCGATATCTATTAAATGACCCATTAAAGTGAGGTATTTGTCAGTCTCAAAGTTCTCATGGGTCATAGATTTTGATAAGGTTTCCAAGACTGCAATGACTACCTTATCCAAACAAGCATCTGGAGTGTTTTTGTCAACAGTTGAAAAGTGAATGTTGTGGAAACCTGTCAGTATTCTGCAAGTGCGTGATTGGGATACAAAGTTAGCACAGAATAATACAGTATTTTCATACACCAGGGCACAGGTTCAGGGATGTGAAAGGCAGTTTTGGGGCCGAAGCTAATAAAGTATTTCTTCACACAGAGGATAATCAACAGTTGTATCAGATTACTAGAAACGGTAAAAGAGGCCAGGACTCATTTAACAAACAGCTTGATGCTGTAATGAGAAAAAAAGTTTGTTTGGTATTGTGGAAGGATGAGAAGAAATAAGCTGAAGGGCCTTCTTCAACTAAACTTCTCTTGTGAAGTGAAGTGCACTCAAAAATGTAAATCATAGTATTAATGTCTGGATTACATTGCTGGAAATGATGTGATGTCGACAAAGCTTCCAGCACTAGAGTGATTCAGAGCATGAAGAAGTATGATTTATATTTTCTCTTCCCCCCCATCCCCACTCACTTGCTCAGAGGTAAGGAGAATTGACAAGATCGCAAGAAAGTTTTGGATGAAAAAAGCCCTTTGGCCCATTTGATCTCGAGCTTCCGGTTTGCTCAAAGTATTGCCCTCCCATTATAGAAGCAAGCTGTTTTTTTTTACACACATGAATATAGTGTCCTGGCCTAAAGGACCCTTGCTGGTAACCTGTTCCAATTGTTCATTCAGATCATTTGTGGCTAAACTCCTACTCAGGGCTGCACTAACTCGTCTGAGGTATATATTGTGATTGAAGAGCTAGTGGATGCCCAGCTCTTCAAACAACATTGAAAACATGCTCTCTTAAAAGTCTATTGCTTCTAGAACTTTAAGGGACTGTTTTGCAGCAAGGGTGGAATCGATTTGCATCACGTACATTTATCCTGCAGAGTATAAATCCAGGTCCCGCTGAAACCACCTTTTGGAGAGTTATTGACACAATTTGGGATCCAGCAAAATTTGCATCAGGTCACGTGGCTCCTCCCTAACTTTTTTTGTATGGTGATTTGTTGCAAAGACTCCCAACTTTATAGTGAGCATGAAGGATAGGGGTGAACAGTCAGTCAGGACAGTCAGCTGTCAAATTAATAGTTTATTAGGTTTATTGTGGTTATTATTTGTTAAAGAAAAATAATTTGGTACTCAGTTCTTACATTTAAAAAGGGCCAGTCTTCAGTAATTCAGTCAGAAATAGAAACTTGCCTGACAAGTTGTGTTTGAATATTATTTGCTGCTCTGTAAATACTAACCTGCAAAACGCATTCCCATAAGACTTACTTGTTAATGCCAAAAACATACTGAACTGTAAAAATTGCATTGGTTGTTATAATTTTAAAAATGTGTTTACTTTGTATGAAAATGATGTCCATAACCTCTGAACCATCTTTCCTAAATGTGTAGTGTTGTTTACCTGTTTTAGTTGAATCCATGCTGGGATGTCTTCCATAGGAAAACATTGACACTGTTATTAACTTTGTGCTATTCTGAGATTCTACCTGTGTCATGAATGAGCATTATGTTAGCGCTGATATAGTAGTTATTGCTATTTATTTTTCACAGTTTTATTGCATGCAGACTTTTGTTGCCTTCTTGAATGGTTTATTCTTTCTGAAGAATCTAGTTTCATTACAGACGTTCCAGTTGTATACAAGAACAACAACAAATTGCATTTATATAGCGTCTTTCACATCAGGAAACATAAAATTAATTGTACTATTCAAGCCCATAATTGCAACCTTATATACTTTGTAAACTAAGTATTTATCTGTAATTTTGTAAAGTGAACTCTTTCAATGTGTGTCGGAGTCGACTATATATATTTTTTCTCTGTCAATTTACAGCTAAAAATAATTATTCTACCAAGAGTCGAACCCAGATCTTATACAGATGTGCAGAATCTGATATATGGGTGTCTGTAGGAGGATTGCTTCCCTATTCCGACTACACCGTACAAATAAATGCCTCCAATAGCCAAGGATATGTGATGAGTGAACTTGCAGCAATAACCATGCCCCCTGGGGGTAAGTATTTGAAAAAGAGCCATTTTTTTCCAGAAGGTTGTAAGATTACAGCTGTTCTCCTGTGCAGATCATGCTGGCTTTTGTAATATAACTAATCAATTGGAGATGAAATATAGCGCATAGTATAAACTTCACTGAGGAGGAATTCAGCAGTCGTTTGAAGGATGTCTACTGAAAGAATACAGATATCATTGTGCCCAGATAATTCTATGTTTAGGTATTTTAAGAGTATTTGTGACAGTGTAAATCATGTTTAGTTGCTTCTTTTATTCATTTATACTTAGATTTTATGTATTTTTTGTTAGTGTTTGTAAAATAGAAATCAATAAAACCACATTAAATGGGAATTTGAGTCAAAAAATGCTGGGTTCCTTATAGTTAAACTAACAAGTATATTCCATTGTCAAGGTAAGTGAATTGTAGTTTTAATTACACATATTTGCTTCACATCTGACTAAAAAATTCAAAGAAAAGCATGGTATTTAAAAATTCATTGTTTTTTTAATGATTGTATGAACATTGACAAAGCAGTGACAAGCAAATGAATAGTGTAAGAGAGGATGGGAACTGTGAAATCATCAATTGCAACCTTAATGAAATATTGAAACAAGTGAATATCTGTTGGGAATCCTCTGAAATGTTGGTCTTGGTCCATGCAGACAGCTGCTCTTTCACTGCTGCACTTTTTTGAATCACAGATAGCATTGTTGTGATTTCCACCCATTCACCATTACTCTCAAACACCTAACAGTAAATACATGGATTATTACTGTTATTGTAACTGCCAATGACAATGGATTAGTCTAACCAGTCAAGTTATATTGTATTTACGAGCTATTCTTAACCTATGAACGCAAGTGCTGCCGATGATTATATGTTGGCAGTTTGCTCCTTTTTGGGATGGAAGGAGGAAAGCAGGATTCCTGGGTTGAACTGACTCTGCAGAGCTTTGCTAATTTCTGAGGAGACACACCTGTGAAGTAAGGCAGGTCCAGAGTAATCCAAAGCTCTGTTGATAGTCAATGAGTCTGTCTGGCTCATCAAGGAGACTCGGAGAGACAAATATATCCTCAACCCAGTAAGTCATAGTCCCACAGCTGTGGTGACTCGACCTGAATAATAATAATAATAATCCTTGCATTTGATATAGCGCTTTTCACGTCGGAAGGACGTCCCAAAGCGCTTCACAGAACACACTGTAAAGTGAATTGACTATATTTGTGGGCGAACGCGGCAGCCAATTGCGCACAGCAATGTCCCACAAACAGTCGTAGATTGAAAATGACCAATTTATTATTGTTTTTGGTTTTGGAGGGATTATTATTAGGCGTGTGGAGTAAGGAAACTTGCCCAAGGTTTCGCCCTGCCTGGAATTGAACTCAGGTCTCTCGCTTGCAAAGCAAGTGCTCTAACCACTGAGCTACAGGACTCCACAAATGTAGAATGTTGAGATTTCCAGCCCACACAGATACAGTGAAAGTGTCCTGCATTCAATGGTTACAAGGCTCCTAAGGGAATAGATTTAGACATTCTTAATACAATTTGCAGTGAGTACAAAAGTGCAGCACAAAACTATTTGGCACCAGATTCGTAGTCGCAAACAAAGGAGATAAAGAATGGCCGGAGAGAGAAATGGAAATTACATACTAGTGCAGCAAGAGGTGCTCATCCAGGGCTGAAGTTAAGGGATGTACTTTGATCCTTGAAAGAGGCAGCTTTACAACTAACTAATTGGAACACCTAACTTCTTGCTGTTATTGGGTTAAAAAATAGTGTGTAGTGTGTGTGTGTGTATGTGTGTATGTGTGTGAAGAGGTGAAGCTTCCCTAAGTGACATTTGTTCCCATGTGAGCAAATGATTCACCTGAAATTAAAAACAAAATGAAATGGACCTGAACTAGTGATGATACTGACTTTGATGACACAGATCTCTAATGGAGTTTTTCTGTTAAAATGTACCTCCTTCTGTTAGTATCCTACTATAATTATGTATAGCGTATAGCATAGCATTGAAGTACCCTTTGTGTGACCTCTTTGGTAGTTTAAGCTGTGACAACTCATTGGCCAAATAGGTTTTGGTTCATGTATCTTTTTGGTTAATGAACTGAAAATATAGTAGTACAGATTAACACATAAAACTGTATCAAAAGGCATATGCCATATGGCTGAATATGTGTGTTTAGGGGGAGTTAAATTAGCACTGGGAGATGTAATGTACTCCATAAAGAAAATCACTTCCCTTACCTTTTTCAATTGAAGTGCAATCCATAACAAAATGATTAATAAATGAGCCGATATAAATGTGAGCAAACTTGGAGCTTTAAATAATTGCATCTTAGTCCATTTTGTGTTAATGTGCATTCAATCCTAACAGTATCATTTTGCGCTTTTAAAAGAAATGTCAGCAAAATTCAGGTTTTTGGTAAATTAATTTAAAAAGAGGAACATGTTTGAGGGTTGTAAAAGACAGGGCATCTAGGCTTTCTAAGTGTTGGTAGACTTCTGTAGAGTGCACTGATAGCACATGTAAATAATTAGGCTATAGTATAGCAGAATGGTTTCTTTTATCAGTCAATCTCTTATGGATCACAGATTGATCAAAAAGGTGCAGGCAAAACTCCACATGCAGCTGAAGCGTGAAGCAGTAAGTTTAAGGCGACTCTGCATATTTATGAAAAAAAACTTTTGGACAAATGTTCTTGATGTACGTCGGTGTAGACAGCAGTAAGGAATATTGTAAAATGCTCAAGTGCAGAAGAAAGGCATATATAAGCATATAAATTTTAAATATACAGAATCCGCTTCAGTTCTTGAAGAATTTCCCAGTTTTAGTGAAGTCTGGTCAAACCTGTCCTTGTTACATCAAAGAAGTGTATAAAAAGCTAAAAGAGAATGAAGGAACATAAAAGGGCATAGTTTAAAGTGATTAGTGACAGTTTTGATATACCTGAGGTAAAAAGAAAACATTTCACAGCATCCTTTGTTTTAATATTAACAGGAAGCTTTCTGGAAGACAGTAGTTTAAACTATTAATTCCTTTTCGGGCGGTTTCCATTCCTTGTGAGTGCTACCATTTTGTGTATTTATACCAGCCTTTTAAAGGGACAGTACTCCACACTTATTGCACTGATATTTTTGCTCATTTGACCATTTCCCTCCTGCTCGGGTCCCGACCCAACTGTCCAGCGCCTTGGGACGTCCTCCCGACGTGAAAGGCGCTCTATAAATGAAATCTTGTTGTTGTTGTTATCACACCTGATAATTATCCCTCAAAAACAAAAACAGTAATTGTAACAAAAAATGAAATTGGTCATTTCAATCCATGACTGTTTGTGGGACACTGCTGTGCGCAATTGGTTGCCGCATTTCACCCACAAATATAGAGTCAATTCACTTTACAGTATATTCTGTGAAGCGCTATATCAAATGCAAGCACTATTATTATATTTTGTGGGCGAAACGCAGCAGCCAGTTGAACACAGCAGTGTCCCACAAACATCGTGGATTGAGTGACCAATTTATTATTATTATTTTTAAAGAATTATTATCCCCGGAAAAGCAGTCCGCCAATCGACTTAACAACCGGGTTCCTACTTATTGCTAGGTAAACAGAGGCATGTAGATTAAGAAAACCCAACATTTCGGCCTGCCGGGAATCAAACCCAGGTCTCTCCCTTGCTCTAACTATTGAGCTACAGGACTCTGACTACTGTTGTTGTATGCAAGAATTGGCATAAATGTCATTTAAGCAATATAGAAACAATTTCAACAGATCAACAATTCTCCAGCTAAATAAAATTGGTCATAATAATAATAACAATAATCCTTGTAATCAATATTGTATCTTTACCACTGAAATGTGGAAAAGTGTTTATAGATAATTGCTGCCAAGTAATAGTGACTGTGTATTTGCAGAGTTGAATTTGCCAATCTAACAATAGTCATAATTCTGGGTAACTAAGTGTATCCTGAGATGTTTTGTAATGGTAAGGGGCTTTAACAATTGCAGGTTATTATTTATATATTGGGTCCCTAATTCACAAGTACAGAAAAGCACTAATGCACAACGTACTGCCTTTTCACATCCAAGTTAAGTCATCCAATGAAAAATTGGATATAATGCAAATTAAATTGTTCAACATCGCTTGGCCATTAGCTCAGTGGGTAAAGGCATTGCATGCTGTGATATTGAGCTGTGCAGACTACTAAGGTCCCAGGTTTGCTTTCTGGTCTGTGTTAAGTTAGATGATATCTCCAGTGATCCTTAACATGAATCACCACTTTCAAGAGACAAGGGGAGTAAAGCAGATAAACCCAATGAAGGGAGGTGGGGGGGTGGTTGAAAGAAAATGAATTCAACAACCAGAAACAAACCACTTGACCTTTGGTGTGTTTTGCGCATCATTTTGCTTCGGTTATTGCTAAGGGAAATAAAGTCTGACTTGGTATTAATCAAAGCAAAATGGGATGCAAAAAACTACCAACTCTCCCACACACTAAATCCAGAAAGAGCAATAGGTAGTCTCAAAGGTTCAGCATACTGAAATGTGTTTGATATTGTGCAGATTGGTTTCAACCAATTGCATGGGTACACAATTTTATTGCATTGCAGTATGCCTGAAAACTTAGTTGTGCACTTGGGTGTATTGTCAAACTGCTGACTATGTTATAATAATAATAATCCTTGCATTTGATATAGCGCCTTATGTCTTTTGAGACGTCTTAAAGCGCTTCACAGAATATACTGTAAAGTGTATTGATTGTATATTTTGTGGGTAAAACACGGCAGTCAATTGCACACAGCAGTGTCCCACAAACAGATTGAGTGACAATTTTTTTATTGAAGGAATTATTACCCGCTTCATTAACCTATTATTATTAATAATAAGGAAATATTATTAATAATGAGTTTTTTTTTAAGGAATTATGTAATAGCCAGGCTCCCTTTCTCTGATTGGTATATCATCAATCACATCACCTCTGAGCATTCTGATGGCCAG